GGCGCAAGGGGCAGGGACCTGCAGGGTGCAGGACAGGGCACACAGGGCCCCGCAGGACAGGGCGCACAGGGTCCCGCAGGACAGGGCAGGCGCAAGGGGCAGGGACCTGCAGGGTGCAGGACAGGGCACACAGGGCCCCGCAGGGCGCAGGACAGGGCGCAGGGTCCCGCAGGACAGGGCGCAGAGCCCCACAGGGCGCAGGGCGCGGCGTGGGCCCAACCCCGCAGCTCAGGGCTCAGCGCCGCCCGTGGGGAAGCCCATGCCACGGGCCCGAGCTAATCCTGCCCCCGCGCCTGTGTATCTCCCCGGCCACGCGACAAACACCGGCTTGCTGAACGACGTTGTGCACTGACGGGCTCTTTCCCCCTGTTCACCACGCCCCGCTTCCCCAGCCCTAGCGCGGGTGTGCAGTGCGGAGGCCCCGTCTCCACCCTAGAGCGTGGGCGTCAGGGGAACCGAGGGGTCGCTCGGCTGTGCCCCCCGCGGCCCCCGGAGGCCTGGGCCGCCCCTGGCATGTGATCGGGGTGCTCAGTAAGGAACGACTCGGGGCACAAGCTTAAGAATCTCAAGTGCCTGTTTCTGGGTTGGTCCTGTCTCCACAGCTACTATTATATACGGAAATTATTAGGTTTAAGAAAAGTTTGTGTTCACCCTTCTCAAAATGTTTGATTCTCAGCTGCACTTCATTCTCACAATTCCTGCGATTTCATATCCAGAGGAGAAAGAGGAGCAATCATAGCATCTTTAAAACCTTTCATGCACCACTAACAGCCAACTTACTTCAGCTGACAGTAACCTAGGAGGTAGGTGCTCTTACTGGCCCTGCTTTAAAGGATGGCAGATGAGGCCCCAGCGCTGAGGAACCTGGCCAGTGTTTTCACAGGTGGGTACTGGCAGACGGATTTGAGCCTCTGGCTCCAGCATCCATGCTTCTAACTGCTAGTATTTTTTCCCCTTGATTCTTTTTAATGTCTTTCTATTGCAAGTTATAGCCATTTATGCAATGGGCATTCTTATGCACTGAACTGTGTTCACTTAAAATTTATGTTTTATCTCTAACCCTCGGAGACAGGGCCACTAAAGAAGTAATCAAGGTTAAGATATTAATAAGGATGGTGCTTTAAGCTAACAAGACCGATGTCCTTATAAGAAGAAAAAGACACATGGGGATGGCACAGAGAAAATGCCATGTGAAGACACAGCCTAAAGGGGGACATTTGCAAGTCAAGGAGAGAGGCCTTAGGAGAAACTGTTAACTCAGCGGACACTGTGATCTTGGACGTCCAGCCCCCAGAGCAGAGAGAAAATAAATGTCTGCTGTTTAAGCCACCCGGTCTGTGGCTGTTGTTCTGGAAGCCTCAGCAAATGAATACAGGCATGGTATAGGAACTGGGAAAACTTCTGATTCTAGCTTGCACAGTCTTTTCTCTAAACCAGTTTTGACCTTGATTTATTCAGCCTTGCACTGCACTTATCACCCACAGCACTTAGCAGTGACTAGCACACAGCAGGTGCTCATTAAGTGCTATGTGTCCAAAATTAAGAAAGAAGGCCCAGTGGGCATGGCTCAGTGGTTGAGAGTCCACCCAGGGATCAGAGGACCATGGTTAGTTCCTGGTCAGGGCACATGCCCAGGTTGCGGGCTCGATCCCCAGTTGGGGGCATGCAGGAGGCAGCCGATCAATGACTCTCATCATTGATGTTTCTCTCTCTCCCTCCCTTCCTCTCTCTGAAATCAATAAAGATATATTTAAAAAGGGGGAGGGGGATTGTTTAAAAAAAAAAAAGAAATACCTATTGGACAGGTAAAAAACTGACTACTAACGCTTGAATATCCCTAGTTCACTGCCTACATTAAGAATAGTAGCTATTGCCTGGCCGGGCGTGGCTCAGCGGTTGAGAATCGACCTAGGATCCAGGTGATCGGGGTTCGATTCCCGGTCAGGGCACATGCCCGGGTTGTGGGCTCGATCAATGACTCTCTCATCATTGATGTTTCTATCTCTCTCTCTCCCTCTCCTGTCCTCTCTCTGAAATCAATAAAGATATATTTAAAAAAAAAAAAGAATAGTAGCTGTTGTTATTGTTTGGTATAGAGGACTTTGCCATTTCAACACATATGCTGCTGTGCCTTGCTTGCTAAAAATAATTTTAAAATCTGGTTGTTTTTGAGGGCTGGAAATATTTTTTAAAGACTTTGAAGGATTTTAAGCACACAAATGTTTCACAAATCATTAACTACTTTAGTGTAGTAGAAGTGGGAGTATATGGTGGCAAAGAATCCCTCAGGTTAAACAGTGAAGAGCTATTGACAACTGAACATAAATCTGAAGATAAAGCTTTCCTGAAGCCATAAACTGATGGAAAAATTTCCAAATTCTCAAGGTCTAATTTAAGCACATCTTTCTATTTTAAATCTACTGCTTAGGTATAAGTCTTATTTTTTTTGTTGGTTTGATGATTTTTTTAAATGACTCAATAAGCAATAATAATGTGAAATCTTTTGGTTGTTTTTAATTTATATTTTTGAAAGAAAGAGATG